TAACCAAGGTCCTGACCCAGTGATTGTCTGGAGTCGGGGGTCTGTTTATGTGTTTCCACAGGGAGAACAGCAGCCGATTTGGATTCCAGAAAGATTAACTAAAGCGATTTCTACAGACCAAAAAGAAGATGATTTGGCTCAAATCCATAACAACTGATATCCAAAACTCCAGTTTGGCTATTCTTACATCTGCAACAGAACCAGGATGCTTTTTTCAATATCTATTTTATTATTGCCCTTTGCCATATCATGAAGTTCTATTTTGTTTTTTGAGCTCATACAGACCTAGGTTAATGTTTTGCTGATCAGTTCTATCTTTTGACTATAGAGTTTTTAAACATTGCAATGGAGATTTCACCTGTAAAAAGTTATAAGGCCTTTACTATAATGTTATGTGTTGTATGTATTATATTATGTGTGCACACTTGTGTTTTGTGTTATATGTTTGAATGTACGTATGTCCATATATCATATATGATGAGCGCTCATGATAAAATGGATCCAAATTTTTTTTTTCACGTGATTTATATGGTTTAATTTAAATTGGGTAAACAACTGTTGAGGATTGTTTTAATATGTAAACAAAAAAGAAGGTTAACAGATCTGTTTGTTTACTTTCACCTTTCCTTTTCATTATATTTAATAATTCTCTTAAAGATAATGTAAATTGTTAAGAAAATTGTTTTCTTTTAGTGCCTTCTGTAATGTTACATAATTTTTTCTTTAGCCATTATTGCCAGAATTCCTATCTTCATCCCAGTGTCGGTGAAGACAATGTAAATTGTTAAGAAAATTGTTTTCTTTTAGTGCCTTCTGTAATGTTACATATTTTTTTCTTTAGCCATTATTGCCAGAATTCCTATCTTCATCCCAGTGCCGGTGAAGACAACATAAATTGTTAAGAAAATTGTTTTCTTTTAGTGCCTTCTGTAATGTTACATAATTTTTCTTTAGCCATTATTGCCAGAATTCCTATCTTCATCCCAGTGCTGGTGAAGTCAAAGATAAAACCAATCTACAGCTTCTACAATAGCCATCACTGAACTGCTTGCAGAACTTGCCTGGACACATTGTGAGCTCACCTGTATGCATTGTGAACTATCTGTTGGTGCAGCGACTTGTGGTAGTGTTGGGGTATTTTTGCTGATGATGTCATTGGTGGTACAATTTTTCCAAAAGGAGCCGTCAATTGGCTTGGTGTATCTTCCTCCCTTCTGCTTGTCATGATCGTCCAGCTAAAATTTGGGGGCCAACAGAGGTGAGGCAAAGAACCTCACCCCCCCCGCTGGTACAAAGACCTCTCCACAGGTGTGGCTGTATACTGGACCGGTAGTCAGTGACAGGTAAGATCCAATTGCAATGGTACCAACCTAAGGACCATATGTACTATTGGACAACCTAAGGCAGGCACGGTCCCTAAGCCACATGCTTGTTGTTTAAACAGAGAGGGGGAGATGTTGAGAGTGTTGAGAGCCACAGCCGAAGGGGCCCCAGCAAACTTCCAGCTGCCAGCAAACTTCCAGCTGCCGGCTGATGATTGGCTCACAGCGGCCCCAGCAACATCTAGCTGATTGGCTCCTCTGCGGTGATGCTCATTGGGCTGTTTCCCTGCCCTTTCAGACCACGGAGCTGCTCATTGGGGGACTTTTTTGGCTCCGCCCACATGACCCAGCCAATCGGCCTCAAGAGCAGGAGGATTGTGGGAGGTGGAGAGAAGCTTGTGTGGGAGAGAGAGGCTTGTGGAAAGCCGGTGGTGGCAGTTGAGGCTCTGAGGGTTTTTCCTGAGAGGCTGTTTTGTTTGGCGTGTGTGGTTCTAAAAATAAAGTTAGTTTCTTTTGACAAGTGGCTCCTGATTGTGCCCAGCCAGACTGCGGCATATATCCATAGGTAAATCTAAAATAGTTTTCATTTCTGATTTTTCACTATTAGATCATAAACACCTTATCATGCCTCTGTATGACTTTATATTTTTATATTTTAATTTTTCAACAAATACCTTAATTATTTTAATTACATTCCTATTGATAAACATTTAGGGTATTTCCAACTTTTCCATGATTATACAAAAATCACCACAAAAAAACATATATATATATATACACACACACACACACACAGAGGCTTTTCTTCCTAAACTTTGCTATCAGATTAATAACTTCTTGGGCCTCAGGACATAAATATTTCAGATTCTTAGTAATTACTGGCAAATGCAATCAAAACAATCTCTATTTACATAATCCAAATTTAATTAATCCCAAGTTTTATCCAACTTTCAACAAAAGTTAGATAATAAGATTGCTTATTTGGTAACAGTTTTTTATTTTATTTTATTTTTTGGTACTGGGGATCAAGGGCACTTAACAACTGAGCCGCATCCCCAGCCCTTTTTCACGTGTTTTTTTTGTTTTTTTTTTTTTTTTTTTGTGTGTGTGTGTGTGTGTATTTCACAACTTGAACAGAAACATTGCATTGTAGTCTCCTAGGGGTTGGGTGGGTTGTACACACCTCTAAGGCAGAAGCTTAGGGGCCCATCCTCATATTCATTTATTCACTGATGCTTGGAGGACTTTGAACTCAACCTGTCACTCATCCTTACCATAGTGAGACCCGGCTGGTGGCTGGGCCAGAGAGTGTGCTGGTGGGAGCACTGCTTCCAGCTGCTCTGCTGAGGGGAGGAGCTGGTCCTGACACACAGACCTGGTGCTGCTGTTGGTACGGGTGGCAGACAGAGGGCCAGGGTCCTCATCCCCTCTGGAGGGGACTGGGCAACAGTGGAAGTTATGTGTCACTTTCTGAGTAACCCCACCTCTGTACCCTACCACTCATCCCCAACCCTTTTTATTTTTAATTTAGAGACAGGACCTCACTAGGTTCCTTACAGCCTCCTGGCTACATTGCTGAGGCTGGCTTCAAACCTGCGATCTTCCTGCGTCAGCCTTCCAACCACTGGGATTATAAGTGGGCACCACGATGCCCGGCTTAGTAACAGTTAAGTGTATTATTATTTTATTTTGCATTATCTTGGCTATTAGCAAAATTTAATTTCCTTGATGATTAGCTGTATTTCCTCCTTTATAGACTCTTATTCATGGCCTTTGAATATTTCAGGATTTAGACCTATATGTTTTCTTATTGATTCATAAAGGTCTTTATATTTTTGAATTAATTATTCACTACTATTTTCTTTCATATGTTTTCACTGTATGTTGTTTTCCTTTTTATTTTTTATTTAGATTTTTTAAAAAATATAAAACCTTTAGATTTTACAGATTCAAATCTAATTTTCTATCATATCTAGGGTTTTTTTTCCCTCATATCTAGCTATACTTAGCTTCAGCTTTGTAAAAATTCTGATTTTTTTATATTATGTAATTAAACTTTAGCTGTCCGGTTATTCAGAACTCAATTGCTAGTTGCAATAGGAATTCAAACTCTAAAATTGAGTTAAGTCAATTATAAGTGCATTGCTTTAGTCACATGAATTCTATTTCCCACTGATTAATGAAGTCTCTATCACATTACATTATTTTTAAATACCCAAGGCTAATTCTGAAGTCTTGTTATATTGAATCAGTACTCAAACATTTAACTTTTCTAAACCCTTTATTGTTTCAGATATGCAAATGATGATCCTATGGTTCAAGAAAGAAAAAAATCATGAGTATTTTTTAAATTAGAATTTCACTAAAATTATACATTATAACTTGAATATAAAAATAAGTTCTATCTAGCAAGGAGTGGTAGCAAACACCTATAATCTCAGTGATTCAGGAGGTTGAGGTAGAAGGACCTTAATTTTGATGCCAGCCTGGGCAATTTAGGGAGAACCTGTCTCAAAACAAAATAAGAAGGGCTCGGGAAGGGTAGGGCATTTGCAAGCCATGCTTGAGACTCTGGGTTTGATCCCAAGCACTGTGAGGAAAAAAAGGGTTGGGGATATAGTTTAGTGATAGAGTGCTTACCTAGCATGTACGAGGCCCTGAGTTCCATCCCTGGTGCCACAAAAAGAAAGTTATATTTACATTCATTCAACTTTTCTTATATATTTGCATAAAGTTTGAAGTATTATATAAATCTCAACATTCTTTTTAAATTAATTATAATATACTACTCAATTGTTCCCTCCGGATACTGTCAAGTCACCTGTATACAAGTCATTGGCCTAAAAGTAGTTTAAATCATACACAACAAGGATAGGGACATCATATTAACATCACAGTTTTAAAGAATGAAGGAGCCATGATGAAAGCAAAGTTCTCATGAAGTATTATAATGGATTATAAGTACATATTAAGCCAAAGATTTTGCCTTAAAATTTTCTGCTCATGTACTGTGGCATACCTGTACAGAAAGTTGAGGAGGATCTTTTTTTTCTGACTTCATTTCCACAACTGCTATGTTGGGTTTCTTTATCCCAGTTTCTGCTTTTCGAAATGATGGAGGAATAGAAGTTGTCACAGTTATAGGGTGTGGCTTGTTTGCCATTACTCCAGTAGGCCTCATGGAATCACTATTACTTTGGGTTTGTCCTAAGAAGTTTAGGGGAAAAAACTAAAGTCAATTGTTTCAAAAAATAAAGAAACAACCCACTGTCTGGATTTTATGGCTGTTTTCTTGCACGAAAGGAAAGCACTCCTCTCCCTCTATCATCACCACTGTCTAAATGCCATGTCATCCTTTTAGCAGTGGAGATACTTATCAGCATTAACCACTTTAGATGTACTATTTAATTTAACTCTCAAAACAAAGTCTGCTAGGCACTAATATTACCACATATTGCCCCAGATTTCTCAGCTTTCCTTTCAAAATCCCACTTGTTTTCTACATTTCTAAGTTAAGAGAAAGTATGATATACTCATTAAAAGCACAAACTCTGAAGTAGAATGCTTGGATTTGAATCTTAGCTCCATTCTACCTGTATAGTCTTTGACAAATTACTACTTAGCCCCTTTGTACCTAGGTTTTTTACCTATAAAACTGGTATATTACACCAAGTGCTCTATTTATTGTGTTAAATGAGTGAACATATATAAAGGGCTTAAGCTTTAAAAATGTTAGCTATTATTATACTAGAAGGCATGTTTAAACACACATTAGCTGTCAAGTTGACATGTCATTAATCATAACATCAAAAATAAAAAATTCTTGGGCTGGGAATACAGCTCAACGTTAGTTAGAGCACTTGCCTAGCATACACAAGACCCTGAGTTCAATGTCCAGCACCATAAAAAATAAATAACTCTTATATTTAAAAATTTCATATTTAAATCATCCATCAAAATTAAGACAAAATGGCAATGGCACCAAAAGGAAAAAAAAGCTAATTAGATTTGAACAGCAAAAATTATTTGTTCAATTTTAACATGATGACCAGAAACCTCAAATAAGTAAATAACAACTATCAGCTTATAATACATAATTACATGACTTCTACTTATCCCAGCCTAGTACAAAAGTACATAAAAGTGCTTTAAAGTACTTTAAAAGCATAACAAAATTAACAAGTCAATCAGGTTTCCTAATTCTTGAATTATTATGAATGTCAATGACATATATAGACATATTATAAAGTTTCACTTCATCTATGACATGTACTATCAAATGTCAAAAGAATAAAAAAAGTTTCCTGTGAGTGAAACTATGGCAGGAATCCCTTATTTCAGATTGCTATTATATAGCAGAAGATACTGAGGCCCTCTCCACATCTAAAAACAACACATACAGGAAAAGGTAAGTGACTATAGTTTCAATAACAGTTCTGATTAACTAAAATTCACCTACATATTTTGTTGGTTCTTACCTAAAAGAATTGCCATAGGAATTAGATGACCTTCCAGTGTACCTGAAAGAGTAGGCATTTCTCTGCTTGGGCTGAACAAATATTGCTGATCACCATGAGGTGCTGTAGTAATGGGATGTTGTATCTTAGAATCCATCTTCATAGATTTTGTTGCATAAAAGTCAGTTTGTGTTCTTATTGATTTTACTTTAGTGCCTATAATAATCAACAGTAGATATTTAAAAATATTACTTGGGGCTGGGGTTGTGGCTCAGTGGTAGAGTGCTTGCCTCACATGTGTGAAGCATTGGGTTCAATTCTCAGCACCGAATATAAATAAATGAATAAAATAAAGGTCCGTCAACACTAAAAAATATTTTAAAAAATAAAAATAAAAATATTACTTAAATATCTATTATCTAACCATCTGGAAATACAGTAACTCTTCTTTACAGAAATATTTCATTCCATTTAATAAGGAGTTACAGAGCCCCAAAGCAGAAGAAACCTATAGACCCAAGGTTGGCAAACATCTTAAATTGCCAGAGAGTAAATAATGCAGTCTTGTTGGCCATGTGGTCTCAGTCACAACTATTTAATTCTGTTGATATATCAGGAAAGCAGCCATGGGTAGTAAGTAAATGAATGAACATAGTTATGTTCAAATAAAACTTATATTTATAAAAACAGCTCACCTGTAAACCATAGTTTGCCACCCCGTCTAGTTAAAAATACAAGGAAGCCAGGCATGGTGGAACATGCCTGTAAACCAGTCACTTGGCAAAAGGATTTTAAGTTTTAGGCCAGCCTCAACAATTTAGTGAGGCCCTCAGCAACCTCACAAAAAGACCCTGTCTCAAAAATAAAAAGGATTGGGAATGTGGATCAATGGTAAAGTACCCTTGGGTTCAATCCCCAGTACCAAAACAAAAAAAAAGAAAAGAAAAGAAAATCAAGGAAAAAGAGACTAAACTACTTTCTAAAACTTTCCTGGCATTATTATAAATTTTTATTTTTAACACATGGGTGGGTTTATACATCTAGATTTTTTAAAACTTCCTTTGTTTATGATTCCAAAAAGAAAAATTTTACCATACTTTTACATCTTTGATATTCGTTCATTCTATTGAATGAATATGTTCAGCATTAATATGTTAATAAGTGTTGGGCATTGTTCCATACACAGAGAATCTGAAGGTGATAAACCAATTGTACTCACAGAGCTTACAGTATAGTAAGGAAAACAATAAATAAAAAAATAACGTAAGAGTTATGTTATGCTATGAAGAACAGTAAGGTAAGGCAAAAGAATAGGAAGGACAGGAGACAGCTCTTGGATAGGATGGCCAGTAGACCTCTCTGAGGAGATAACATCTAAGGCAGAAGTGGAAGGGACTAAGAGGGAGCCCCATGAGTGTCTGAAGGAAGGAAAAGCTCTCCAGGGAGAGGAGTAGCTAGCAGCAAAGCCTCAGAATGACCATGTGTCCACTGGCTCACTCAATTCTACATTAAAAGGATTACTGAAAAAGTTACTTTTGGAATGGGCACAGTGGTGCATGCTTGTAATCCCAGTGGCTTGGGAAGCTGAGGCAGGAGGATCATGAGTTCAAAGGCAGCCTTAGCAACTTAGTGAGGCCTTGTCTCCAAATGAATTAAAAATGGGCTAGGGAGGTGGCTCAGTGGTTGAACCTGAGTTCAATCCCTGGTACCCCCCCATTTCATATTTTTGATATGAAAGTATTTTAAAATCTCAAGCTATTTTTTGAGAAGGCTTTCAAAACTCCAAATATAATATATTTTTATTTTACTTAATTTTTTTATAATTTAATAGTAAGTCTCCAATAAATAATAGGAAACATTAGGGTTGGGGTAACATAAGCTATATGTTTACTAAACATAAGCTATATGTTTACTAAAATAATACCAGTATAATTTGTAAATAACTTCACATCATAAAAGATAACTTTTAGAAAAAAAAAGAGAGAACTAAAGTAGTTGTCACAGCTCCAACTTCTAGAAAAAAAAGGAAATGGGTTGGTACTCACTAATTATCACATATTGTCAAAATAGCTTATTGATTGCTAAAGTAAAGCTGAAAAACTTCAAAATGTAACCACAGTCAACAGTCAATACTTAACTAAGTTATATTTAAGGGTACCAGTGAAATGGTTGTTGTGAGTCAAAATGTGGAGTGATAAATGAGCATGGTTTTATTTGTGAACAAAAGAGACAAAAACATTTTCACCCTTGCTACCTAAGGTTCTCTGAGAATAAACAAAACTTCAATGGGGCCTGTAAATACTACACAATAATAAACAGCATATGGTGGCTGATCTTTCCGTTCATAAAAACATGATGGACCAAGGTCTTCAAGGAAATGCCTACTTTTCCTAGATTATAATTTGGATTGTTCAAGACTCATTATCCCCTAAATAAAAATTTTATGATGCCTTGAGGCTGGTGCTGTGGCCTAGCACGTTCAAGGCGCTGGGTTTGATACTCAGCACCACATAAAAATAAGTAAATAAAATAAAGGTATTGTGTCCAACTACAACTAAAAAAAAAATTAAATTAAAATTTTATGATGCCTTATCTGAAAATATCATCTACTACTACCTTTCTTCCCACTTATTCCTATCTTCTGCATCTTTTAAGTTCTCATCCATTTCTTCCCAAGTCTCTAGAAAGAATTATTTTTCCATCCCTAAGCATTATATAATTTGAACTATATTTATAAGAAACAAAAAGCAAGCCATATTAAACTGATACCATAAAAAAAAGATTAAAAAAAATGAGGGCGACTGCATTGAACAACAGTAGATGGGGTAGAGAGGGAAGATGGGAGGGGAGGGGAGGGGGGAATAGTAGGGGATAGGAAAGGTAGCAGAATACAACTGTTACTAATATGGCATTATGTAAAAATGTGGATGTATAACCAATGTGATTCTGCATTTTGTATTTGGGGTAAAAATGGGAGTTCATAACCCACTTGAATCAAATGTATGAAAGATGATATGTCATGAGCTTTGTAATGTTTTGAACAACCAATAAAAAAAAAAATGAGGGGTCCTTACCTTTAACTCGTTCTATTACTTTTGGTCTCTGCGGTTTGGACTTAGGAGATGGAGAATTAAATCTGAGATATGGTCCTTTTTTAAGAGTGCTGCGATGACCCTGATAAACAGGTTTTCCATATATTTGTAACATATAATCATCATCTTGTATCACTGTGGTTGATTTTAAATGCCCCTATGAATATAAAATTATTAAAGTCACCAGAAAAAAGTAGACATCAAACGCCTCATTTTTCTAGAGCCTCCTTTTGCTAGCTCAAGCCCTATAATAAGAATACAGGTCAGAAAAATCCTGTATTTTAAATAGCTCTTAAACTCTGGATGAAATTTTCAAATGTACGTTTAAAAAGCACAAAATTTAAATACACATTTCATCTACCTAATAATCACAAAAATTCTTACATAACTAATATATCTTCAGCACCAAAAATAAATGTTTAAATACATTTTACATATTTGTTATATTCGAGTACAATAAAATACAACAAACCTAGTCTTCATACATCCCTGACCCCACTTTCAACCATATCTAAATGCCACAGAAAGGCAGCATTTATCCAATATTTACTAAGTGGCAAGAACTAGATGCTTTGCTGATCTGCCCAACAAACTACATTTGACTTTAAGAAAATTAAAGCCTAGTTAGAGCACACACAAAAATTCCCACTATAACATCTATTACCATGACTTGTACTCACCAAGCACCAAAAGTAAATTTAAAAACAAACCACACAAACACAAAGATGAAACACACTTTTGATATCATCTGGTTTGGGAGCTAGATGATCTCTAGGTAACCTGCCATGACTTTAATGCTAAGATTCTAAGTATGAGGCCTGAAAAGCTGGGTGTGGTTGCATGGGCCTGTAGTCCCAGCTACTCAGAAGCCAAGGAAGGACAACTTGAGCTCAGGAGTCTGGTGTCAGTATAGGTAAACACAGCAAGACCTACCTTTTAAAAAATATTTAAAAAGTAAGTACGACATCTCAAAAGGAAGGAACAACAAGCAGATTTTGTATAACACCTTCCACTTTATGAATTCAAAACCTTAAATGTCGATAGTGTAAAGACAGTTTACACTTGTATGGTGCTTTGTATTTTAAAAACATCTTCATGTTTAATTCATTATTCATAAATTCTTTATATATATCTTAAAGGAAATAATTATAATGCAGCATTTATGTCACAAAACCAGATTAGGATCTTACTTCTTTTCTTTCTTTCTGTACACCTGAAGCAGGCATGCTCCTCCTCATAGGTGGACTTCTAAAATGTTCCTCTATTTGTTTTTGAGAATGCTGTCTTGGAATTATAGGCCTGTTCACAGTTTTGTCTTTTGTGTTGGTTTTAGTATCTTTACTCATATTCTGAGCTTTCTTGGTCCTTTGATTCTTAAGATCAGATCTCTTTTTTTCATAATCTTTTCTTGCCAATTCATCCTAAGGTAAACAAAATTAAAATTACTTAAACCTACAAAAATAGTAATGCTCTCACACCAGAAATTGTTTGTTGTTATATAGTTTACCAGTTTAAAATGCTTTTAAAAGAAAGAATACTGGCTTACACATGAATAAAAAAAAAATCTCTGGAAGAATAAACAAAAAATTAAAATGACTAGTATTTTATGGAGCAAGGGGGATGAGATATAGGGATAGAAGGGTAAATTTTCATTACAAACTTCTTTCTTTTTTTTGTACTGGGGATTGAACCTAGGGGTGCTTTACCAAGGAGTTGCATCCACATCCCTTTGTATTTTTTATTTTGAGACAGGGTCTTGCTAAGTTGCTTATGGCCTCACTAAGTTGCTGAGGCTGCTCTCCAACTTGTGATCCTCCTGCTCGGTTCTCCTCCTGCTCGGTTCTCCCAAGTCACTGGGATTACAGGAGTGTGCCACTGCACCCAGCAACTTTATTATTTTTGATGTTTGAACCATAGGAATTTAGTAAATTTAATTTATAATAAAACTAAGATAAATATTTTACACAGAATTCATAGCAATAGAGGAATATATATTATCAGTTGGCTACAAAGCCAGAACTAGATTCTGAATCTTTCGACTTTTTTTCTGAGGCATCATATAAATATAATGTAAATATAAATCTTCAAAACTATATTAGAGATATATACTTCAACATAAGAAAGTTTAAAAATGTATTTCCATGTTTATTGCTCTAAAAACGGACTGACACTTTACCTTCTTACCACTATAGATAAGCAGGTAAGTACTTCTTACAGTCAGAAAAAAAACCACCTTGCCCTCCAAGATAAAAACATAACAAAACAAACAAAAAACCCCAGAATATTCTGTCTTGTTCTGCTCTTTCTAAACATATAAAACTTAAATAATTTCCTATTACTGGCCCCCAATAAAAACGATTTCCAGACTTTTCAATGCTGACACTAAAGATATACCATGCCCTCTGTGGATATGAGAAGGTACTGTTTTTCTATCTGGAAGTGACTTCTGTACACTTAGTCATCTTGGAAATTGGAAAAAACTGTCCCTTTTAAGTAACTTTGCTATTTTTATGATAGTGAGCCAATGCTTCTAAATATGCTGTCTTGAAAACATCTTTGCAAATATAAATCTTTTCTAAATGCTTTTGCTAAATTTTTTATCAAGTTACTCATATTTACTGACCAACAATTTTCCAGATAAGAGTCACAATATAATTTTTAAGATAAAACATTTGTTAAATAAAACTATCCCTGGCTGGGGCTGTAGCTCAGTGGTGGGAGTGCTTTCTTAGCATGCATGAGGCACTGGGTTCAATCTTCAGCACCATATAAAAATAAACAAATAAAATAAAGACATTCTGTCCATCTACAACTACAAAAAAAATTTTAAATAAAATAAAAAAACAAAATTATCACTTCTAAGTAAATACAGTGATAAAGGGAAATAAAGAATTTTCAGTGAACTCAGATGTAAAGAATATTTTGAGAAAAAGTATTATAAACTGGAATTAATGCTACATTCTGAAAATTCAACTTAATTTTAAATTTTACCAAAACATACCTGAATTTCTGCCGAAATAGTTTTAATCCATTCATCTACTATCTTTTTGATCCTAATTTTCTCTGATATCTCTCTAAAAAAGAGAAAAAGGAATTTTCTCAAATTAATACTTAATGCCCTGAGAACAGGACCTAAATCAAATATCATTCTTAACTAGTTCTAAATCTACTGTGTAGCTCAATCTCTTTCATCTGAAAAGGAAAAACTAGTGGTATTTAGTTTTCATTAAATGTTTGAAGGACAAATGTTTGAAAAGAAGTAAAGAAGATGTGTTCCAATGATAAGAGGGAAAATTTCCATCAATAAAAAGTATTACTGGATCCAAGATGGCGGGCTAGAGGGTGGATGCATTCTGTGTCACTCCGTGACCTGGGATTCAAGTAGTGGCAATACTGTTTCTCTGCTAGTTATTAGAGGACTCCCAGCTGCTCTCCCACGTAGGAATCACAGCCACCACTCCCACACAGGAAACATGGGGGCCACATGCAGGACCTCCGGCTGCCAGTCCTGTGGGGACCCCCATCTACCTACATGGGACTCCTCAAGTCACTTCTACCTTGGGACACTGCAACCACTGCCATAGTCCCCTACACACTGTAGCCTGCACCTGGGGATACCGGACAGGGTCTGGAGACAGCTGCCAGCTACAACACTGCACTCTACAGAGCTGCATCTCTGAACATGTCATCCAAAGTCACCACCCCAGCCCAACCTGACCTAAAACCCTATCTCTGAAAGCAACCACCTCCAGCTTGAGATGCCTTTGTCACCATCTTTAGTTGGGATAACTCCCAGCTTGGGACACCGGCTGGGGCCTAGAAGCAATATCAAGGAGAGGCATTGGAATCCTGCAGAAACAAGATAAGTCTGTAGGGTAAAAACGTAATACCTCAGATCCACAGTGGTAGAAAGGAAGATACATGAACATGAAAAAACCAGGGAATAAAGTGCCCCAAACAAACCAATTATTATTCTAAACTATTATTAGAATCCATGATCAGCACAGCAGAAGAAATGACAGAGAAGGAGTGTAGGATGTACATAATTTAAATGTTCTATGAATTAAAGGATGATATAAGAGATTAAATACAGGCAACAAAAGATCATTTCGATAAAGAGCTACATAAAAAAAATACAGGAAGCAAAAGTATACTTCAATAAGGAGATAGCGATTCTAGGGGAAAAAAAAGAAAAAAACAAATTCTTGAAATAAAGAAAACAATAAACCAAATTGAAAACTCAATAGAGGGGCGGGGGTTGTGATTCAGTGCTACAGCGCTTGCCTAGTATTCATGAAGCTGGATTTGATGCCCGGTACCACATACAACAAATAAAATAAAGGTGTTATGTCCATCCACAACGAAAAAAATATTTAAAAAAAAACACTCAATAGGAAGAACCCAAACAGATTAGATCACTTGGAAGACAGAACCCTCAGCGAATGAAGACAAAATATATAATCGTCAAAATAAAGTTCACACAGTGAAGATGATGAGAAATCATGAACAAAACATTCAAGAATTCATACCAGGGGCTGGGGATGTGGCTCAAGCGGTAGCGCGCTCGCCTGGCATGCACGGGGTGCAGGGTTCGATCCTCAGCACCACATAAAAAAAATAAAATAAAGATGTTGTGCCCACTGAAAACTTAAAAAAAAAAAAAAAAGAATTCATACCAAATTTAAGGATTATTGGGATAGAGGAAAGCGTAGAGTTACAAACCAGAGGAATTAACAATCTATTCAATAAAATAATATCAGAAAAATTTCCAAACATGAAGAATGTATTGGAAAGTCAAATATAAGAGACTTACAAGACACCAAATGTACAAAATCACAACAGATCTACACCAAGGCACATTATAATGAAAACAGAGAATAAGGAGAGAATATTAAAAGCCACTAGAAAAAGGAATCAGATTACATATAAGGGCAAACCAATAAGAATCTCTGCAGATTTCTCAATTCAGACCCTGAAAGCTAGAAGATCCTGAAATAACATATACCAAGCTCTGAAAGAAAATGGATGCCAACCAAAAATCTTATATCTAACAAAATTAAGCTGGATATTAGCTGGATTTGATGATAAAATTAAAACTTTCCAAGATGAACAAAAGTTAAAAGAATTTACAACAAGAAAGACTAAACTACAGAAAAATACTCAGCAGAATATTCCATGAGGAGGAAATGAAAAAGAATGATGAAAATCAGCAGAGGGAAGTACTATACTAAAAGAAAAACAATCAAAGAAGAAACCAATTCAAGTTAAATATAAAAAATTTTTAAAAAAATAAGCGGGAATACAAATGATGTTTTAATAATAACCCTGAATGTTAATGGCCTAAACTCATCAATCAAAACACATAGACTGGCAGATTGGATTTTTAAAAAGACCCAACAATATACTGCCTTCAAGAGACTCATCTCATAGAAAAAGACATCCACAGACTGAAGGTGAAAGGTTAGGAGAAAACATACCACTCATATGGACTACCGTAACAAGCAAGGGTTTCCATCTTCATATCAAATAAAGTAGACCTCAAGCAAAAGTTAATCAAAAGGGATAAAGAAGGATATTACATACTGCTCAAAGGAACCATACACTAACAAGACATAACAAGAATAAATATATATGCCCCAAAGAATGGAGCATCTACATTCATCAAAGAAACTCTCCTCAAGTTCAAGAGTCAAAGAGACCACAACACTATAATTCTGGGTGACATTAATACAACTCTTTCACCAACAGAAAGATCATCCAAACAAATCTAAACAAAGAAACTGCAGAACTCAATAATACAATCAATAACTTAGACTTAACATACATATATAGAATATTTCATCCATCAACAAGTGAATACACTTTCTTCTCAGCAGCACATGGATCCTTCTTTAAAATAGACCATATATTATGCCACAAAGCAACTCTTTAATAAATACAAAAAAGTAGAGATACTAACATGCATTCAGTCAGATCATAAAGGGATGAAATTAGCAAACAATGATAAGATAAAAAAATAAAAGCTACTCCAACACCTGGAGACTAAATAATATGCTACCAAATGAACAATGGGTTACAAAAGACATCAAGGAGGAGATTAAGAGATTCTCAGAGGTGAATGAGAACACAGATAACAATGCATCAAAATCTCTGGGACACTTTGAAGGTATTTAGTACTAAGAGGAAAGTTCATTGCATGGAGTTCATTCCTTAAAAGAAGAAAAAGTCAACAAATAAATGATCTAACATTACATCTCAGAGCGCTAGAAAAAGAACAAATCAATACCAAAAGCAGTAGAAGACAGGAAATACTTAAAATCAAATCAATAAAATTGAAACAAAAGAAACAATTGAAAAAAACTGACAGAACAAAAAGTTGATTCTTTGAAAAAATAAATAAAATTGACAGACCCTTAGTCATGTAACGAAGAGGAGAGAGAAAACTCAAATTACTAACATATGTGATGATGAAAAAGGAAATATCACAACAGACACTACAGAAATACAGAAGATACTTAGAAATTATTTTGAAAACTTGTACTCCAATAAAATAGAAAATATCGAAGGCACTGACAAATTTCTAGAGTCTCATGATTTGCCCAAATTGAATCAGGATGATATACACACACAATTTAAACAGATCAATTTCAAGTAATGAAATAGAAGATCCCATCAGAAGCCTACTAACCAAAAAAAGCCCAGGACCAAATAGATACACAGCCAAGTTCTACAACACCTTTAAAGAAGAACTAATACCAATACTCTTCAATTTATTTCAGGAAGCAGAAAAAGAGGGAGTACTTCCAAACTCATTCTATGAGGCCAACGTCACCCTGATTCCAAAACCAGGCGAACACACATTAAAGGAAAAAAACTTCAGACCAATATCTCTCATGAACATAGATGCAAAAATTCTCAATAAAATTCCGGCAAATCAAATACAAAAACATAGTGCACCACAATCAAGTGGGGTTCATCCCAGGGATGCAAGGTTGGTTCAACATATGGAAATCAATCAATGTAATTCATCATATCAATAGACTTAAAGATAAGAATCATATGATCAACTCAATAGATGCAGAAAAAGCATTCAACAAAATACAGCACCCCTTCATGTTTGAAAAACTAGGAATAACTGGGACATATCTCAACATTATAAAAGCTATCTATGCTAAGCCCCAGGCCAACATCATTCTAAATGGAAAAAAAAATTATATCATTTCCTCTAAAAACTGGAACAAGACAGGGATGCCCTCTTTCACCACTTCTATTTTTACTTCGTGAAACACTGGCCAGAGCAATTAGACAGACAAAATAAATTAAAGGGATACACATAGGAAAAGAAGAACTCAAATTAGCACTACTTGCTGACAATATGATTCTATACCTAGAAGACCCAAAAAGTTCCACCAGAAAACTTCAAGAACTAATAAATGAATTCAGCAAAGTAGCAGGATATAAAATCAATACGCATAAATCAAAGGCATTTCTGTATATCAGTGACAAATCCTCTGAAAGAGAAACTAGGAAAACTACCCCATTTACAGTAGCCTCAAAAAAAAAATACTTGGGAATAAACCTAACAAAAAAAGGTGAAAGACCTCTACAATGAAAACTACAGAACGCTAAAGAAAGAAATTGAAGAAAACTTGAGAAGATGGGAAGATCTTCCTTGTTCCTGGATACGCAGAATTAATCTTGTCACAATGACCACACTACTAAAAGCACTATTCAGATTTAATGCAATTCTAATCAAAATCCCAATGATATTCCTCATAAAAATAGAAAAAACAATCATGAAATTCATCTGGAAAAATACGAGATCCAGAATAGCCAAAGCAATCCTTAGCAGGAAAAGTGAAGCAAGTGGCATCACTCACTATACCAGACCTTAAACTACACTACACAGCAATAATAACAAAAACAGCATGGTATTGGCACCAAAATAAACTGGTGGACCAATGGTAGAGAATAGAGAACCCAGAGACAAACCCACATAAATACAGCTATCTCATACTAGACAAAGGCACCAAAAACATACATTGGAGAAAAGATAGCCTCTTCAACAAATGGTGCTGGGAAAACTGGAAATACATATGCAACAAAATGAAATTAAACCTCTATCTCTCACCATGCATAAAATTCAACTCAAAGTGGATCAAGGACCTAGAAATTAGTTCGGAGATCCTGCGCCTAATAGAAGACAAAGGAGGCCCAAATCTTTATCATGTCAGATTAGGCCCCGACTTCCTTAACAAGACTCCTATAGCATCAGAAATAAAAATCAAGAATCAACAAGTGGGATGGATTCAAACTGAAAAGCTTCTTCTCAGCAAAAGAAACAATCAGGGAGGTGAAGAGAGAGCCTACAGCTTGGGAGCAAATTTTTACCATATGCACATCAGATAGAGCACTAATCTCTGGGATATTATAAAGAACACAAAAAATTTAATACCAAAAAAAAATAAATAACCCAATCAATAAATAGGCCAAGGAAGTGAACATACACTTCTCAGAAGGTGATATAAAATCAATCAACAAATATATGAAAAAATGTTCAACATCTCTAGCTATTAGAGAAATGCAAATAAAAACTACTCTCTTTCATCTCACTCCAATCAGAATGGCAGCTATTAAGAATACAAACAGCAATAAGTGTTGGCGAGGATGTGGGGAGGAAGGTACTCTCATATGTTGCTGGTGAGACTGCAAAATGGTACAGCCAATATGGAAAGCAGTATGGAGATTCCTTGGAAAACTTGGAACTACCTTTTGACCCAGCTGTCCTACTCCTCAGTGTATACTCAAAGGACTTAAAAACAGCATACTAAAGGGATACAGCCACATCAGTGTTTATTACAGCACAAGTTACAATAGCTAAACTGTGGAACCAACCTAGATGCCCATCAGTAGCTGAATGGGTAAAGAAACTGTGGTATATATATATACAACAGAATATTACTCAGCAATACAAGTGAATAAAATCATGACATTTACAGGTAAATGGATGGAGTTGGAGAATATAATGCTAAGTGAAGTTAGCCAATCCCAAAAAAACAAATGCCAAATGTTTTCTCTCATACAAGGAGGCTGATTCATAGTAGGGTTGGGAGGGGGAACAAGCGAGGATTAGACAAACTCTAGATAGGGCAAAGGGATGGGAGGGGAAGGGAGCAGACAGGAAAGGGAGAGAGTAGGAAAGACAGTGGAATGAGATGGACATCATTACCCTAAGTACATGTATGAAGACACGAATGGTGTGAATATACTTTGTATACAATCAGAGATATGAAAAATTGTGCTCTATATGTGTAATAGGAACTGTAATGCATTCTGCTGTCATATACAATAAGAGCTGGGGAGGCTGTTGGGAAAAAGGCACACTCATACATTGCTGGTGGAACTGCATATTGGTACAACCAATATGGAAAGCAGTATGGAGATTCCTTGGAAAACTTGAAATAGAACCACCATTTGACCCAGCTGTCCCACTCCTCGGTTTATACCCAAAAGATTTAAAAACAGCCTTCTACAGTGACACAGCTACATCAGTGTTTATAGTAGCACAATTCACAATAGCTAAACTGTGGAACCAACCTAGATGCCCTTCAATAAATGAATGGATAAAGAAACTGTGATATATATACACAATGGAATATTACTCAGCAATAAAAGAGATAAAATCATGGCATTTGCAGGTAAATGGATGGAGTTGGAGAATATCATACTAAGCCAAAGGCCGAATGTATTCTCTGATATGCTGATGCTGATTCATACTGGGGGTCTGGGGAGCATGGGAGGAATGGAGGAACTTTAGATAGGGCAAAGGTGAAGGGAGGGAGGGAGCATGGGGTGGGAAAGGTTGTGGATTGAGATGGACATCATTACCCTAACTACATGTATGAAGACATGAATGATATGACTCTACTTTGTGTACAACCAGAGACATGAAAAACTGTGCTCTGTGTACTAAGAATTTAAATGCATTCTGCTGTCATGTTAAAAAATTAAACAAATAAATTTTTTAAAAAGTGTTCCTATCATGTATATATCCAAATTCCAACATTATAATAAGTTCTATATCTTCAAAGGCATTAAAGAACTACTTCTAAATATCAAAACACATTAAACAAAGTGATATGCTTAGAAAAAACTTATGGAACAGAACTGGAAGCTTCACAAATATCTTTGGGATGCAAATATCCTGCCTCACCTATTTGTGGATAAAGCATTGATAAATGAGTACATAGCAGCTCCATCTTTTGCACGAATAATGGCTTCTAGGTTTTCTTCAAGTACTTTTTTATTGTTTTGTACTCCTCTCAAAATCTTCTCAGCATCTTTCAATACAGATCTTGTTGTATTGGCTGTTTGAAGCTTAACAGAATTCTGTGGAAGATCAGCAAGCCTCATCATAATTGGCAAGTCTTTCTGCTTAAAAGAAAAAAGGGAAAAAAATTACCATGTTAAACTTACATTGATTACTTTAATCCAAATAAGATCTATTACTACTGTTGGGGCCATAAACCATGCCAACATGTTCTTCAGACTCAATCTGTCAAACTGAAGAGGTACAAGAGAATATATGGCACTAATTTTTTCCCATTTAGGAATACAAATGTTAGTGTCAAACAGAGATGGGATATCCATAGCAATGCTAGGCAGTCCAGTGGCCAATGACAGTTCTATTGCTGAAGACAGCTAAACAAAATAAGAGCAAGTTGGCTGACACTTGCCAAGACACTGTGGACTAGAAAAACAAGAGCCATTCACAGCTCTCTTTCTCCTTTTCTCCCTCTCCAACAGAAGTTGGAAAGCCACAGATAACCATGTGGCTCTGTCTGGACAAAGAGTAGTAAGTAAAAATCATTTGGTGAAGGCCTCTGAAAACAAGTTTAAAGGGAATAGACTTGGCTGCCATGTTTTTGGTTTTTTCAGACCTTTATCTTCATCCTTCCTCCTGATTTGTCTTCATAACTTTTTTATTCCTTCACAATTTTTACCTTGCTAATCATCAATTTTAACACTATTCCCACTTTACCTGGAGCATGTCATTTGTTTCTTTCTTCTTTTGGCCACGATCATGAAGAACATCATTAGACTTGTGCATAGTCATTTTAGATGTGCCTAGATCTTCACAGGATGGAAATCTTTGAGAAGGAAGAGTTCCAATGCTAGAAGAAAAGTTTCCCAAGTTCTCATAAATTCAATAAACAACTGATTACATGAACTTTTGGTACATTCTTAGGTATACTTTAATAAATGATGTTCTACCAAAATTGTATCATGTAATTAACCAGTTATGTGATAAATATATGAAACACAAGAAATCATAAGAGACAAAATTAATCTTACCAGAAATATTTAGGTATCATAGGAAAAGAGCAGAAAAGGGTTTTACTCTCAAGAAACTAACATTCAGAAGTATTTCCAGACAGGTGGAGAAAGAACTCTGAAAAGTCACTCTTCCATAAAAGCAACGAGAACACTGACATCAAAATCAATTTTAGGGGCTGGGGTTGTAGCTCAGTGGTAGAGCACTTGCCTCACATGTGTGAAGCACTGGGTTCAATTCTCAGTACCACACATAAATAAAAATAAAGGTTCATCAACAACAGAAAAATATTTTTTTAAAAAAGTCAATTTTATTTCAGAACTTTGAAAATTAAAGAAAGGCTTACAATAACCCGAGGATCATTTATGCAAGAAATAAATGGCTGATTCTTAGTAAAGATCAGTAAAGTTTATGGTATAACTTTAACTTAATTCATTATCAGGACCTTTTCCTCAACTCTGTGGTAGCCTTGAAAACTATGGCCTTACAACAACTTAAAAGGTTATAACAGGTTTGGAGGTCCTCTAAAAATCTCCTTCATTGTGTTTGGCTTTATTTGACCTAACTCAGAAGCTCAGTAAGAAACTCTATCCTTAGAGCATTTTTTTAAAAGTAGAAATTGTTAAAATCTCAGCTGCCTGAGATACTGATATAAGTTGAGGCAAACAAGACTGTGGACAATGAACTTCAAAAAACTTCAATGAGGAATGAGACATCCATAGTGGAGTTTGAGTAAGCTCCACCATATTCCTGGGGATATTGAAGATAGTACACATATATGGGGCTATATACACACCCCAAAAAACCTAAGAAGGTCCAGCTCTCTCACATCTGACTGCTTTTGAGGCTGTCTGCGAGTAGGAAGTAAAGGCTAAGACAGATTCATAAAAAATAAATGCACACGTACATTCATGAAAATAAAGAGACTTATTTACTTATTTACAAATTTACTTACCTTGAACTATCAAGATAAATAAATTTGTTTCCAATCATTGGCAGACTAAGTTCACAAAACAGAGACTTCAGTGAGTACATATGACAAAGAATTCAGACTTTACAGAATTAGTCCAGGAAAGTAACTAAATAACCAGCTGTATGAACAACAATTCCCAGTACAGCAAACAACACTGACTTCTAGTGTTGCCTTACTGTATTATTTAAAATGTCTAGTTTTCAACAAAAATTTTGATAAACACACAGAAATTTTTTTAAAAAAAAGCACAAACACAGGAAAAAAGACAGTCAGTAGAACTGTCCTTATGAAATCCCAGATATTATACTAACTAGGTAAAGATTATAAATCAGCTATTACTAAAGAAACCTATTCAAAAAATTAAAGTTAAATTTAAGAATGAAGTCTTGCCAGAAAGAAAAAAAACACAAATATAAATTCTGTAATTGAAAATTTCAAATTAACAGAGCCTCAGAGACCTATGGAATACCATCAAGCATATCATCACACATATCATTGATACTATTTAATATACAATGAAATGATGGTCCAAAAATCACCAACTCTGGGACAGGAGTCCCTGTGTTTCTCCTTTGCTAGCAAAACAATAATAGAATCAGAAAATAGCATCTAAATTATTATCATCAAAACAGAAAGAAAAAAGGAAAAAAAGAAAAGAAACAAATGATGGCCAAAATGTTCCAAGTATAATGAAAATTAATCTACTCATCTAAAAAGCTCAACAAACTTCAAATAGGATAAACTCAAAGATATCCATACTTGAATACATCATGGGGAAACTGTCCAAAATCCCAAGCAAACAGAAAATCTGAATAGCATCAAAAGAAAAGTGACTCATCATATTACAAAAGATCCTCAAAAAGATTAACACCTGGCTTTTAATCAGTCTTTATGTAAGAGTCCAGAGGAAGTAAGATGATACTTTGAAGTGTTAAAAGGAAAAAAAAAAATGCCAACCAAAAATTCTATATGTAGCAAAACTATCCTTCAAAAGTGAAAGAGAAGATAACAGAGGCATGCATGTGTACACAGAGGGTTGACCACGAGAAGAAAAAAAGAGGGAGTCCATCTACAAACTGAGGAGAGAAGTCTCGGAAGAAATCAGCCCTGTTGGCAACTTGATTTTAGATTTTAGCCTCCACAAATGTGAGAAAATAAATTTATGTTCAAACAAACAAACAAGAATAATTGAAGGAGAAACTAAAAACAATCCTATATAAACAAAAACAGAGAATTCAGTGCTAGAAGACCCAACCTACGGGGCTGGGATTTTGGCTCAGTGGTAGAGTACTCATCTCGCATGTGGAAGGCACACATGTGAGATGAGCACCACATAAAAATAAAGGTGTTGTGTCCATCTACAAATAAAAATATATTTTTTTAAAAAAGACCCAACCTACAAGAAATACTGAAGAAAGTCCTTTAGAATGAAAAGACATTAGATTCTAGCATGAATCAATAAGAAGAAACAAAGGGTACAAATAAAGGTCAATTATATATGTACAAAAATATAACATCTATTTTTATTATGCTCTTCTGAATCAAAAAACAGCTGTATAAATTTTAAGTTATCAAGCTGTATAGAAGGGCTTATAATTGATCAAAATATAATTTGACAATAGTGGAAAAAAGGGGGAGGGAAGACAGACATTGGAGAAAAATTTTAATACTACTGAAATTAAATTGATATTAATCTGAACTAGTTTGTTTTGAACTAATATGTCAATTTTAATTCCTATATAACCAATAAATAACTACATTACTACAAAAAATGTAGTAAAGGAAACAAAGGAATTAAAATAGTACACTAGAAAATATCTATTTAATTAAAAGAAAGCACTAATGGAAGAGTGGTGGAATAAAAGATCTGAAACATGTTGGAAATACATAGCAATATGGCAGGCATAAATATCAATAAGTGCATTAAATGTAAATAAATTAAAATTGTACAATATATTTACATAAAAATACTCCAGTTGTGGCTCTTTTAAATTTTTATTACTGTAGTTTTCATGATATAGAAGGGAAATATAATTATGGCCAAGATTTACTTGATTTATAAAAAAATCTTTCTTACATAAAATTTCAAACATACACATAAGTAAAAATAGTACAATGACACTTTATATGTCCCTTCTATAACAACATCAAACACATCATTCTCATAGCTGTCCTCATTTCTTCTATACTCACAACCCATTCCCTGTCCTACTATGTTATAGAAAAAGAGAAAGATACATTAGAATCAGAAAATAGTATCTAAATTTAAGATAATTTTTAAAAACAATAATTTATTAATATTCTTAAATAAACTTTAGAAATATGAAGAAAACTCTTTCTAGTTTAGTTTGCATTCCAATTTCTTATTTTTACCTGTTTTTTTCCTCAAGTTTCCATTCCACTGTCGGCCTAGTTAGTGAGGTTATGTCTAACAATTCACTTTTTTTTATCAAAGAATCATTATTATTCAAAATCTGTTCCAACAGTTTTACATTTCCTGTAATAGAAAAAATATAGTATCATTTTCCAAATATTAATTAATTTCTCCTTTACATAACATCTCACTATGTCTGTACTCTGGCCTAAATCTGCTTCTATGACTATCTACTTAATTCACTCCACAGTTGCAATGGTTTTAATGTGTCCCCTGAATTTCAGGCATTACAAACTTAATCCTTAAAGTTATATGTTATTGGTATTTGAGAGCCAGGAACTTTGGGAGGTGATTGGGTCAGGAGGGTTCTGTCCTCATGAATGAGTTAATCCATTCATGTATTAATGGATTACCAGGTTTTTCAAGGCAGTGGGTTCATTATAAAACCAAGCTCTCTCTGACTAGCTTCCTTTTGTGCCATGTGATGCCCTCCACCATGTCAAGAACCAGCAGGCTCTCACCAGAGGCCAAGCCCATATAAGTCACCATGCTCTTGGACTTTCAGAATCAGGAGCTAAATAAACCTCTTTTCTTTACAAATTACTCAACCTATAGGAATTCATTATAGCAACAGAAAACAGATTAAGACAAAAGAGTAGACTGTAAATATACTCACCAAGTAACACTAAATATTTATACCTCATATAAACCACTCTGGTAAAAATATGAATTATATTAGGCAAAAAGACTAAATTTGTCTCTGTCACAGAGGGAACTATCATTATCACAAAACTCCAGAAATTGAACTATTTTGTAAATCAGTAAAAAGGAGGTTTGTTTCCTCACAATTACTTGGATCTTCCCATTAGCCTTGTTTTCAGTGAGACTACATAACAAATTACTTTTCGTAAAATTGGTTTCTTTAATAAATATTTATTATCTTCTAAATTCTTGAAATTTGCCTAAGGTAAGACTTGAATGCATTTAAAGAAATCTAAGAATAAAAGCCTACAGCTTAATATTTTCACTTACTTTTACTAGAAGAGCTACATTTTAAGGCTCTGTAGCACACTATTATTTCAGGTCACTTATAAAAGTTCTTGTTTTCTAGTAAAATAGTTCATATATTAGCACTTTTTCCAGCAAAACATGGTGATAAATGTTAACTTCCCTGAGTTTTATTATTGAAATTCACACCTAAAAACAATATAAGGAAACACATTCTAAAAATGATCAGTCTTACCTCAACAAGGCATTATTTTTTATATTAATAAAAGCTTAAGTAATAACCTGTAGGAGATAGTAAAAATAACTATAAATGTATACCTTCAACTCCTACAGATAATCTAAAGAAGACTGATTTGTCCCATAAATATCATCTACAGAAAAGTAGTGAAAATAGAGATATCAGTCTAGTTACAGGGCACACAGAGAATTCCAAATCATGAGTGACAAAATTTCAGGACAATTTCCTAATCTGAAATAGGTCTAGTCAAGGCAGGTATATCTATAATTGTTTCTTACCTCTCTGACCTAACATTTCCATGTTTTCTTTTTCTTCTATGGGATTTTCCTTCTTTGACATTTCATCATCTCTTGAAACAGGTACAGGAGCAAACCTGCGAGGTGCTGGTGTCTCCAAAGGAGATTTTTGTTCATTAAAATCCATATCTTCAAACTCTATTAAAGGAGTTTTAATAGAAAATAAATAAGAAATTTTTTTTAAAGAGAGAGAGAGAATTTTTAATATTTATTTTTTTAGTTTTCAGCGGACATAACATCTTTGTTTTTATGTGGTGCTGAGGATCGAACCCGGGCCGCACGCATGCCAGGCGCGTGCACTACCGCTTGAGCCACATCCCCAGCCCATAAATAAGAAATTTAACTTGCTTGTTAAAATTTAAAAATTAGAGAGTATTATTCTTTCCTGTACATTAAAAATAAAACCAAAAGTACACAGGATTGATAAATACATAAATTATTAACAAATAAGTAGAAAAATAACTTCATTCTTAACTAGAAGTCAAAAGAAATAGACTAAATATTTTTCAATAAAGCTATAAACACAAATCAATATAATAACATTTTTTTGTGTGTGTGTGATACTGGGGATTGAACTCAGGGGCACTCAACCACTGAGCCACATCCCTAGCCCTATTTGGTATTTTATTTAGAGACAGGGGCTCACTGAGTTGCTAAGTGCCTCGCCATTGCTCAGGTTGGCGTGCCTGGCAACATTCAGTACTATTAAAGTTGTGGTGAAAATGGTATATCTAGACATTTTTCATGGTAATGAAAATTGATAAACATGTAGCAATATACCACCTAAATAACCTTACCCTTGGGAATTTATCATAAGGAAAAAAACTTTAAAAAGTGTTAAATATGTGATGATATTCATTACTGTATTATTTATCAAGAAAAAAAAAAACCCTAAAACCTACCTAACTGTTCAACCTCAAGGTAACAGTCATGTCAATAGACTTTTAGTTATTAAATTTTAAAATTATAGGGTGTGGGTGTGGCTCAATGGTAGAATGCTTGACTAGTGTGCATGAAGTACTGGGTTCAATCCCCAACACTGAAAAAAGAAAAAATTAAACTGGTGAAAATAATTATATAAAACATAAGAAATGCTTTCAATATGCTAATAAAAAAGAAATACAGATCCTTTTCAGGTCATAGGTGTAATGACTGTGTATTCACACTGTTGTATCAGATGTGCCTCTCTATAAACTTGTTATAATGTCAGCACATTACCCATCCTATTTTGGAAAAAAAAAAAGAAAAAATACAAAACTGTATTTGTGCTACAATTAAAACTATCTAAAAGTAGGGCTAGGGATGTGGCTCAAGCGGTAGCGCGCTCGCCTGGCATGCGTGCAGCCCGGGTTCAATCCTCAGCACCACATACAAACAAAGATGTTGTGTCCGACGAAAACTAAAAAATAAATATAATTCTCTCTCTCTCTCTCAAAAAAAAAAAAAAAAAAAAAAACTACCTAAAAGTGACACATACTCATTAAAAAACACAGAAAAATAAAAAGTTTAATTTGTTGAATTTGGGGGGAGAGGGGTACAAGGGATTGAACTCAGGGGCACTCAACCACTAAGCCACATCCCCAGCCCTGTTCTGTATTTTATTTAGAGACATGGTCTCACTGAGTTGCCTAGCACCTCACTCTTGCTGAGGCTGACTTTGAACTTTCAACCTCCTGCCTCAGCCTCCCTAGCCACTGGGATTATAGGTGTGTGTCACCTCACAGGGCTAATTGTTGAATGTGTTGAATTAAACTAAGTTTTTCTTTTATTTCTGTTATCATAACTAATATAAACACTGAAATAAATTAAGTATGCAATCGATAAAATAGTCATTTTTTTTTTCTTTACAGCTTAAGTCTACAAAAACAAAATTATTCTGTGGAATTGAATAAATATACTAGGGGGAAAAGTATCCACTTATGTAGAAGGATCAAGGCTCAGTCACACTGAAATCAGAGCTCTTGACCCTTGCTCTCATGCCCTAACTCTCAATGTAGTAACCTTGAACAGTCCAGTCATAACCTTTCTGTATTTCATATTCCTTTTTACAACTTAAAAATTGACTCAGACTACTTCACAACAGTGTTGTAAGAACTGCTCATTTGCAAAATAAACGTACCTTATAAGTAAAAGAAGTGTTTAATGACTGTGATACAACAATGTTGTAACAAATAAAAAATTAGAAATACACAGACCTGTACATCATTAAATGAAGAGTCCTTTGATTTTCATTAATGTTATTAAAACATCAATAATTTGGAAAAATATCTGTTCATTTATTTTAAATTCCAAAGGTTTAAGAAATAAGCTGTGTATTTCTTTGTTATTATAATTTTTTAATTCTATAAACAGATTTGTATTAGTCAAACTGAAAATATTTAGAAATATAGTAGTCTCCCCTACTCTTGGGGAGATATGTTCCAAGACCCTAATGAATGCCTGAAACTAAAGTTAATGCCAAACCTTATATGTATTATCTTTTACCTGTACACACAAACAGTACAGTGTGGATACACTGGACAAAGGGATCATTCACATGTCCTGGCAAAACTACTAAGCCAGACAGTATGAGATTTCATCATGCTACTCAAAACAGCATGCAATTTAAAATTTGTAATTGGTTTATTTCTAGAATTTTCCATTTAATATTTTTAGGCCACAGATGACCATGGACAATTTTAAACCTCAACAAGCAAAACTACAAATAAGAGGGGATTCAATAGCTTATAATTTTACTCAGTTGTTTTTTTCCTGACACAATCAAGAAAAACAGTAAATATGCAGTTTGTCGGAGAAATTGGAGAATTTTATTAGATAAGTAAATTTTTCTAAATGTCTAAGGGTTTCTGATAACTTATAAAGGCCATTACTTAAAACCATAAATTAGGACATGATTCATAATTTGAACAAGTTGAAAAATAATTTAAAATTTACTTAATCTATAAAAAGAATTTTATAAAACAAAGACTCAGAAATTTTGTAAGAATCTCACCACTTAGTAAATAAGTTTTCAGTTCATATAGCACAAAGAAAATCCTTACATTTTCAGTCCATAAGAAATTAAATATTTTTACCTTGTTTGGAAGTATATATATGATGTGAAGACAGATTGCTGCTACCAAGATGAGGATGTTCTGGTTTTACAGAATACTTTTCCACTGCTCTGGAAGGAAGCACGCTACCAGGCTGAAAACTATTAGTCTTTAGTGCAGCACTAATAAAATGAGTCTAGAAAAAATAAAATTATTAATTTCAAATATCATTTAGTATGATGATAAAGTATATTGAGATTTCTTACTGGACTTGTAAACAATTTTATTACATTTATGAAACAATGAGAATATATTCCTTACACAGCAACTATCACTGCAGTAGTAACAGAAATACTATGGAAGGAGGTAGTAAAGACTGGGCTGTCTAACTACTCTGTGCTGTTAATCATTTTCTTTAACCATTCCAGCCTCAGTGTCTTCCTTTCTACCTCAGAAAGGGCTTAGAATCATGGAAGCAGCCTAAGAGAGGACCAAGAAGGAAGGGCCCTAACTCTAGACCTCTACTTTCACCAAATAATTTAAAACCAAAGCATTTCATCTTTTAAATCCTGCAGTGTAAGACATCATTTGAAGTAAAGGTTAGAAAAAAGTTTGATAGTAAGCACTCAAATAAAAGCCATGCTTATGCTTAGTAGCAGCAACAGTATATGCATTTATATATAATGGGAATTAAAGTGACAACATTGTTTTCAGCCCTATTAATTTAAATACCTGAAATGTATATTTTAACTAATGAAACTGATTTCAAAAGAGAGTTTTAAGTCAGATCAACAAGAGCTAAGTTAGACATCATTTTATAGAATTCCTAAAAGTAGGTTGAGTTCCCTTTAAATAAATAAGATGGGACAGATAACTAATTTCATTTAAGCAGTTACTGAATGATTAATATACCTACTATTATTGTGAACAAAAAGAAAAGTAAAGAGAAAGGAAAAAAATTTTTCAGGCAAAGAACTCAAGGCTCAGAGAAGAAAGTTATTTATCTACTGGGTACTGGCATTCTGATCAAACCATTTCCAGCCTCTCTCTAGAAAATACGCTGCACACGTAATTTTAGTCAGGTGTGAGTACTTACAAAAACTTGAATTTGTATGCCTACAGTCATTCCAATAAAATACTATCTTCAATCTCATGAAAAATGGTGGAATGAAATGGACATCATTATCCTAAGTACATGTATGAAGACACGAATGGTGTGACTCTACTTTGTGTACAACCAGAGAAATGAAAAATTGTGCTCTGTATGTGTAATATGAATTGAAATGCATTCTGCTGTCATATATAACAAATTAGAATAAATAAATTAATTTTAAAAATCTCATGAAAAGCTCAAGATAAGCTTTGTAAAGAAGTCTTGACATTACTCTGTTAACAAAACCTGATGAGAACACACCAAAAAAAGAAAACTTAAAGACCAATATCCCTTAATGAATATAGATGTAAAAATCCTCAATAAAATACTTGCAAATCAAACTCAATAGCCTATCAAAAAGATCATAAAATCACGATAAAGTTGTTTTAATTCCAGGAATATAAGGATGGTTTTCAACATATGCAAATCAATAAAATAATATATCACAAAAATAGAATGAAGGATAAGAAAAATCACATATTCATTTCAGAATCATCTCAAACACAGAAAGTATATTTGATAAAATTCAATACCCACTCATGGCAAAAGCTCTAAACAAATTGGATACAGAAGGATCATACCTCAACATAATAAAGGCTATGTACAACAAGCCCACAACCAAAATTACCTATGACCCAAAGAGATCTACAGATTCAGTGCAACCTCCATCTAAATATCAATCACATTTTTCATAAAACTAGAATAAACAATCCTAAAATTCATATGAAGCACAGAAAAACCTAAATAAACAAAGCTTCCTTAAACAAAAAGAACAAAGCTAGAGGCATAATAATACCTGATTTCCAGATAAACTACAGAACCACAGTAATAAAAACAATATGGTATTGACATTAAAAAAAAAAAAAAACATTGGAACAAACTTGAGAACCTATGCATCCAGAGCCAACTGATCCTCAACAAAAGGACCAAATGCATAACTAGAGAAAGGACAGCCTCTTTAACAAATGATGCTGGGAAAACTGGGTATCCATAAACAGCAGATAAA